CGGGGGGGCCGAGCCGCCCCCGCCGGGGGACCCCGCGCATCCCCGCCCGACCCGCCGCTGCCTCGGGCGCGCCGGGACCGGGCAGCGGGAGGAGCAGCGGGGAAAGCACGGGAGCCTCCTCATCCGCTTCCTTCTGTCCGCGTGCGGCGGGGGCAGGCGCAGCATCCTGGAGAGCGGGAGGCCGGGAACAAAGGCTCCGCGCCAGCACCGGCGGCTCCACCTGCCCTGCCCAGCGGAGATGGCGTCCCTCGGCTTAGGGGGGCTCAACGTCTCCGCCCGGAGGAAGAGCGTCCCGTCCCGCAACGCCGCGGTGGAGAGGCGGAACTTGATCACTGTGTGCAGGTGAGCCCCGGGCCGGGGCCCTGCCCCGCCCGAGGGACCCGTTCCCGCTCGCTCCCGCCGCAGCCCGCGGGGCCCGTCCCGCCCCCGCTCCGCACAGGTGGGTCGGGGCCGGAGCGCGGGGGTCGGCCCCGGCGCAGCCCTGTCCGGGGCAGGGAGGCCGGTGCCGGCCCCCGCGGTGGTAGAGCAGCCTCCTCCATCCATCCTGACTCAGCTCCTGGGAGCGCTCGCAGGAGGGTGTCCGGGCGGCGGGGGCAGGGGCTCACCGGGCAGTGCTGCTGCTGCGGGGCGTCGAATGGCCCCTTCTGAAGCGGGGGACTGACAGGCTTGTTCCGGCTCCATGCTTGCATTCTCTGGCGAAAGGCAGGGCAGGGATGGGCGCTCGGCAGCGCTGGACTCGCACGGGCGCAGCTGCTGTAGCTGCCCTTCAGTTGACGCGGGCAGGTTCGGAGTTAGTGTGATGAGCTTTAGAGTTAATGGGATGTGCGGGGCGAAGAGGCTCAGGCCGCTGCGAGCGCGCCGGTGCCGCAGGACCATCCCGAAGAGGCTGCGCTCCAGGATATTTTTATCTACAAAATCTAGATCAGGAAATCTGCAGCACAGTGGGCTACTGTATTCATATTTCTTTCTTTCTTTTCTTTTCTTTTTTTTTTTTTTTTTTTTTTAAGCATCTTAGTGCTGAGCTTATGCAAGCTTAATAACAGTTCTATGACGTTCCATTTAAGCGTTTCCACTACTGTCACTGTGGAATTCATGCAGCATTTCCAGGTGTGCAGCAGTGACGTGTAACGTCATGGCAAACTTTTAAATACGTGGATCTGCTGGCAGCAATGGCTCCGTTCGGTCGTTTGTTTCAATTGCTCAATTTTTAAGTTATTAAAGTAATTTGAATATTATCTGGGAAAGGTTTTCAACAGACTGATTAAGGTTATGACATAGTTTAATTCTTGCAAGTCTTACTAAGGTGACAGGACAGCTATCATCACTTAATGCCGCAGCAAGATTTTTAAAAACCAATACAACTTCATATTTTCCATACTCTTTTCTTTTTTCTTTTATGGTATACTGTTAGCAGGTTTTACAAAGTGTGACTCTATCATTCATGTAATGAATTTATTTCAGCATTCCTTCAAATCATAGTATCTGTGTTTGAGTAGCATCAGTACTATTCTGTCTTTTCCTGCGCTTCTATGCTTATTTCTGCTCCTACCTGTGAAAAAGATACGCAACAAAAAAAAAAAAAATTGAAGTTTTTAATCAAACCTGCAGCTTAAATAATAGAAATAGAGGTTGTCAGTTTCACTGTTGTTACATAGATGCAGATACTGCTAATCTGTGTGTTCAGGAAAACACTAGTTTTATCAAGTTATCACACAATTGTACAGGATATAAACAGTTCTTTTTAAAGGAATACATTGTATTCTATGGAACTTGGGGTTTTTTTTCTGCCTCCCTCTTGAGAAGAACTCTTCTGTATTTTGTGCTGTTACATTGTTTTTTTGGTTTATTTGATGTCCTTGTCCTGAAGTTGAAGTGATGGTGTAATATATTTTAAAATGCTTAGAAATTTGAGGGAATTCACTTAAACACATTTAAAACAAAGAACTATTGCAGAAACTGCTTGAGATTGGTGTGTTTTTATGATTTTCAGCAAAGCAAATTAATTTTGCTTTTCTTCACAAAACCTGAAGTTCTCAGTTTGTGAATACACATTAAAATTTGGAAAGAATCTTGAGGAGGAAGGATTTGCATTATTATGATGTATATACATTTATTTATATTTTTATTTTGCCAATGTAAGAGTATTTAAAATATCTCAGTGCTTTACTGTAGTTATTACAAGTATATACATTTATTTATATTTTTATTTTGCCAATGTAAGAGTGTTTAAATACTACAGTGCTTTACTGTAGTTATTACACATTTTCTATTATAGAAAAGTGTTGCTTGTTAGGAATAGCCAAGTTAGTATTGAAAAGTGTAAAATAATAGTCCTTTCCAATCAGAATTCTATGAAAATAAGAAATTGTTCTGGTAAAAACTAGCTCCAGTCAATTGATTCAATCAAATTTGGATGGTATGGACTGTTCCCCAGTGAAGGGGAAAGATCACAAGGAAGATACTCTTCTGAGTTACCATCTGTTAACAGTCTCTGATAATTTAATTAATTATATTTGTCAAAGCTTCAATTTAGCATATTTTTACTTAATAGCTATACCAGACTAATGTTTTAATCTTTTCTTACAGTGATGATTATCTAACTCCTCCTGCAGATGTGGATAGTTTCTTATATTTACAGTTTTGGAAGGAACAGTTTATTTCCACTGAAATGTTGAGTAGCCATGGAAAGTGACATAGATGCTTAAGTTCCATAAACCAATTGCATGTGAAAATGCATGGCTGTGTTTTTGTGACTTCACATGATTTAAATTGGAATAATTCTCAGGACTTTTTTTGAGTAATGCATGTTTTTGAGTATTACATGTTCTAAGCTTTGTCTCTCTCCTTAGCTGTTTTCCCTTGAGTTTGATCCCTTTCATGTTCCAGTAAGTGGCTCTGAGATTTTTTACTAGTTATAGGTTGTTCACTTGTTTTAATCTAGTCTTAGAAAGGATTCATAGATCAAAGATCCACATAGATACAGAACAATTGAGATGCACCTCGGAAGTGACATTCATACCTTAAACTCAGAATGTTAGCACAGAATTGAACAACTATTAGGAAATATGCTTTTAAAACAGTGATTTTGCTAATGCATGTAAGACCTGTTGCTGTGACATTGACCCTTAGCTGAGCTGTCTGGTTTCATGATTGCCATGTTTAGCATAAGGCATGTTTTTTCATAATCTTAGGGATTATTCTATAGTAATAGTTTGCATTCTTTGCAATAGTATTTTAATAACACTTCCCAAATTGCAAGCTAAATAATCATGACAAAAGCTGCTCTTTTGAAAATAAGCCTATAGGTGTGGATGTATCCACAAAATGTTTGGCTTTGGTTTGGAGTTATTCAAGAAACTTGGGAGACTTCTTGTGCATCTTGCAAAGCAATGAAACAAACTACCCTAGAAAGATTGTTTTGAGTCTTTCTTATTCAAGAATGTCTCCATCTTACACAATTCATAAGGTCTTCTTAAGGTTGGAGAATGCTACTATTTCTGCATATTCTTTTTGGCTCAAGGAAGAGTAGATCCGTGACAGAGAAAAATGTGTAATAATCCAAAAACGTTAGAGTTCGTGAAGGTCATTTGGAAACATTGATATTGGAATCTCTCCAGTGGCAGTTACTGTATCCAAAAAAAACAAAAAAAACCAAAAAAACCCCCAACCAAAAAACAAAAGCCGGGGGGTAAAAGTTGTTGCAGTAACATAATGGGAAATGTTGGATGAAATGCTTTTTTTAAAGAAGTCTTGAAGCAGTAGATATTATAGCAAGAGAAGCTACATTACTCATCTGCTCTTACAATCCACCTAGAAGTTAACCTCTGATGTGTAAGCAGACTGCTGCTCTGGAGTGCAGTGCTGCTGTGGCAGCCCAGTGGAGAAAAGATGGACTGAGGTGGTGCTTGGGCTCTTTTCCCAGGTAACAAGTGACAGAACGCAAGGAAAAAGCCTCAAGTTGCAGAAGGGAGGTTTAGATGGGATATTCAGTGACATTTCTTCACAGGAGGGGTAGTCAGCCATTGGAACAGAATGCCCAGGGAGGTGGTAGGATCACCATTCCTGGAAGCGTTCCCAAAAAGTATGTGTGTGGCACTTGGGGACATGGTTTAACAGTGGACTTGTTGCTGCTAATGGTTGGACTCCATGATCATGAAGGTCTTTTCCAACCTTAGAGATTCTGTGAAGGTGGGATCAATGCACAGAGCCAAGGAAACAGCTCTAGGTATTTGGACCTTTTTTCTTCATAGCTCTTGTGTCCTTTAGATCTTCTTGACTTTCAGTCTTCATGTGGCGCCACATAACTGTGCAAGAGCGTGGAATTTCTGGTCTGGGGCCCCATACACTGGAAACAACTTCAATGACTGAGGAGAATTGCTTACTTAATGCTTACAGTATAACCTTTTTGCAAAGGCATAACTTCTATATACCCTTAATCCTTTTTCCAATATACATGGTAAACATGGTGAAGTGTGAATATCTAATATGCAAAACACGCTCATGACTTTTAACTTGCACTTAAATATATGTTTGCCTCTTTGTAGTATTTAGAGGAAGAAAGATAACACACAAGTATTTGCCTATGAGTGGGTTTTTTTTTTAAATATAAAAAAAATATTTCTAGTGAATCAAATTTTGCTTGGTATCTTCTGCTTTGCTGTTATCTTCCTGGTTTATAGAAGTAAGTACATACTTGCACTCCCTGTAAGTTCTCCTAAAAGCAAATCTAACTTGACTATAAAGGTTTAGGTTTTTGGTGAAGGGTAGAGTAGATGGACGAAAATTAGCATTTCTGACGTTATGGCAGTAATATGAGCACTTAAAAAGAATACCATTTTGATGATGAGCTCTTAGACTGTATTTTATAATCAGACTCTAGGTATATAAAAATTTTTTGTTTCCTTAAATACTAGATTTTTTTTTCTTCAGTTGTGTTGCAGAATGCTTCAAAAATGAAAATAAAGCTTATCTCTGATTTTTAAAGTGTTTGTGAAATTGCTCTTAAGTGTTACCTCTTGAATATATCTCCATTTCTGAATAGGTATTCCATACAATATTAATAAGCAAACTTTCAAGTATGACATTGAATACAGGCAAAATAGACATAGCTTTATATTATACTCTACTTGGTTTTGCAGTTTATGGATGATCATATCTGAGTTTTATGATGATATTCCTGTGTACAGGGCAGTACATCACTCTGCTAACTCACTCTCTATCTTGTGTATGGATCTGTGAGTGATGTGCTGCACTGTATCTTTTTCAGACCTGCATGGTGTGGGAGGACTCATCTTGTTACAGTTAATATTAGCTTAGTCATGGCATTGCTATAGGCATTTGTTTTTCGAAATGAAGGCTTTTTTTAATAAAAAATCTCTCAGCTCTAATGTAGCTTTGAGGAAGCAACAAGTTCTGCCATTAGAAGAGTCAATAGCAGTTAACTGGTGGGCATGCATGTCTCTCACTTACTCAAAATTGGTTAAAAATATGGAGGAGTTCAAAACTGAGTCATAATTTGGCACTGCAGGAGCAGCTTCCTCCTCCACCCTAATTCACTCCTAATTCCTGTTCTGCAAAAAACACTACAACAATAGATGCCTGCAGGAAAGGTAAAATAGGGAGTCTTTATTCAGAAGTTTACTGAGTTAAACATAATTGAGTGGAAACTCGAGCTGTGTGTCAATTCAGTTTGAGCACATTAGTTTTGTGCATCAGAAGGCTGTGCTGACTCCACTAAGGAGGCAGTTACTTCTGTAGTACAGAGCATTTCAAAACAGTACTGGTGTAAGGAGCTTCATCCCTGCCCATACCACTAATGCTGTGCTGCTTCTGCAGCTGTGCCGTAGAAGTGCTTGTGTTGATGTGCTGTGAAAGATATTTTTAATGAATGTATCCATATTTAAGAGTCACTTCTTCCCTCCTTTCCAGTACTGAAAATCTAAAACAGTTCTTATTGAGCACCATAAAAAGTAGAATTGGAAAAACTGAGGAAGCCAGCGCTCGCTCAGGTGTAGGATCTGGGAGGAGCAGGCAGAGTGAGAACCTCCTGAGTTGGTACTGTTGACATTTGGGTGTTGTGAAAACTATCTCCTCAGGCTGCAGTATGGCTCTATTAATACAAATAAGATTGTTGCAAAAAAACATAGTAAATGCTTCAGATTTAATACTTTTAAGTTGGAGAAATTTGTCTTGAAACTGAAAACTGGAAGAAGCTGAAGAAAGGAAAATAAAAATGGATAATGATAAAAATTATGAAAACAAAAGAAACATTTTTTTTGTCACATATGTTGAGGTTTGAACTATCCTCTGAATAAGAATAAAAGTTTGTATGAATGTAGGAGTAACTAAACACAGCAGGCTGGCCAGTTGACTAATTACATCTTGTCTGTGTTTTACTGTGACTTGATTCAGCCTTTCCAATTTTAAGTGTTGGATCACTGAAACTGAAAGCTTTTATAGTATTATAATGAAGTAATATAGTACTGAATAAGGATTACCCCCATTCACAGGGAGATCAGCCTAAGTGAATGCAGAGTTAACAATGCATAAAAATTCATTGTTTTATAATATGTCTAGATTATTTTTGTATTAGGATGAATTTAGAATATTCTCATAATAGGTTAAAGTTTGTATTTCTGATTATTGGACATGAATTTTGGGAATAAAAGGAGCACTGACAAAATGTTAAGCAAAAAATATTTACGTTTAGGATTACAAAGAGAAACTGATGTTGGATGCTTTTGAGTGCTTGTTTTTCTCCAACTGCATTAAAATATTTAGAGAAGAGAAAAATAATTTACTAATTTCTGTGTGGAAAGGGTGGGGATTTTTGTTTTCTTTCTGTTTTTAAGGCTTTATGCCTAAGACCAACAATGCCAATTGCACTTCCATGCTATATCTGAACATTTTTTGTGTTTCTGTTGCTGTGACTGAACTTGATATCATCAAGGTAGGTTCTGGTTCCTTGCTCTTTTGGTTTATACAAGCTACTGCCTTGCTATAGAGGACCACTAATTATTCCTATGATTTATGATTGTCCCGTATTTTTTGCTCTAGGTTTTCAGTCAAGACTCTGATTGACCGTTCCTGTTTTGAAACTATCGACGATACTTCCCCTGAATTTAATAATTTTGCAGCCATTCTGGAACAGATTCTAAGTCATCGACTGAAAGGTGTGTTATTCAACTTCCTTATTGGTGATGATTTTGCCATGAGAATTTGTTTATACAAAACCAATGTGCATCTGTACAAACTCCTTGATGCTGAATGAAAGCATTGGCTTTTTGTCCTATTGCTGTTACCTTCCTAATTTTTTGCATTACTATGGAAAAGCAAACTATTTCTGTGAAAAATGTTTCCAGTGATCTTGTGGGAAGCCTTCTGGGCTGGTAATTAAGCAAGTGAATGTTGCCATGGTGCTGAGCTCTGTCTGCTTTTCTGCTTTATGATAAGGCTGTGTCCTAAGAGTCTAAAAGACAATTATATTATCTGCTTCAATAGGAGCTACAGAGCATATCTGGTGCTGCTCCCATTTCTTCCTCCCTTCCTTTTGTTGCCTTCTTTTCCAGATACTGTTTTTAGGTCCTTTCACTCTATTGCCCCACTCCTTTAGTGAAGCTGGTTTTTTTGCTGGAATGTCCTGAAAGAGATTGCTTTTGAGAAAGGTCAGTTGTTGATTTTCTTCTTGTATCAAGTCAGATGTTCTAGTTCCAGATAATGCCTGCTTGCATTTTCCAGTTGTTCTAGGGGAAGCTACTTTGCTCAGAGAACAGTGTGTGCTTTAGCAGTAGCAGTCACTAGAAGAGGACTTTGGAAGAGTCTTCTCTTTTCTCAGTTCTGTGTACAGTTTCTGAAATGATTTGAGGATTATGAAGAACATTATAGTCATCTAAATATAGATGTGTAATATGACAATCTACTCATTTTCATACTTTTTAATATTCATAACCAAGCTTTGTGAACAATACTGTGTGTAGGCTGACATTTGAATACCACAATTACTACCTGCTGTGGTTCTGTCAGAGAAGGAAAAAAATGGTGCACAGTATGGTAGAAACAGAGGGTTTGTCACATTGTGACAAAGATTTTTTGAGTGATTATGGGTACTTAGCAGCTTGACTCTGCAGGGAAATTGCTCTCTTTTCTCCTCCTCCTCCTCCAGCTTCAGCAATATTTGTGCAAAAGTAATTGTAAATTTTTTTTTGTCAACATTCTTTTGCTTCAGTCTTTTATTCAGGATAGGCAGTACAGGGAAGAAGCCTTGACAAGTTGGCAAATGGAATTTGCAAGTAAAAAATAATTTCAAGTAAGAAATAGAGAAATTCAAATAGCTAAATTTTTGTTTCAATCTTCCCCTTGTAATTGCTAGTATAGTTTTCTATGTTTGCAGAGTTAAAATTACAGAAAAAGGTGGGAACTTGTGGATTATGTTGCAAATGGAGAATGTTTTGGTAATAAGCTACCTGACTGTTATTTTTAAAGATTTTAAAATAATAAGACAGAAATTGAATAAGAAATGAACTATGACACTTCAGATTTTAAGGGGGTATATATTCTACTGCTTAAGGCTTGAAAGAAATTGTATTTTATTGATGGAATTGACTAATATATTCTGAATGCATACTTAGTAGGAAGAGACTAAATGCAAACTGGTGATTGCAGTGAGTTGTATAAAGTGTTTTGAAACTGGCAGAACATACTTGATTTGTTTGTCTATAGTAAGATAAATAGCTTCATTGTATCAAAATTATCAGGATAATCTCACGGCAGTGTAGTTAAAAGGATGATTCAGATTTGAGAGTTTAAGTATATTACTTTAAGGCCATGGCAAACAATAGTTCTTAATCTTTTGCTTTCTTTGGAAGTACTGGGTGAGGAAAGCAGAATAAAAAAAAACCCAAACCACTTTATGTTATAAAGTGTGAAGTTTGCTTTTATTGGAAAACTTCTACTGGTAACTCTTCTGACATTAAATGTAATGTATTTTTAAGGAGCAAAGCATAGTCTAGATGGAATGTAGTGAAGGTTTCCATTTATTGGTCTCATGCTTAATTAGGATCCAGACAAAAAAAAAATCCAAATCCAAACTGGTAGGAAGGAGGATGGTTATTTTAAATGGAAAAGAGTTCACCTGCAGGGATTAGAATTTTACACTTTTTCTAAAACCTTTGCAATTAAAAATTCTGTAATAGTAGTTGTCCAAGCCTTATCTTCCTAGGTGTTCTGGAAAAAATGGTTGTTGTAGAAACACAAGGACCATGTAAAATGGATTTTTGATAGGTACCTGATCTGCTGCTCCTGGTAGCAAAAGGGTCTTGAAATAGCATTTTTTATTTAACCACCATGAGTGGTTTTGTTGATTTGTATTTTTATATTCACTCTCATTGAATAATTAATTTTTGGAAAGTTTTTAGACTGTCATCCAGTCCAACTTCTTGCTCAAAGTAGGGCTGTCACAGATTACTCATGATATTCTCCAGTTGTAGTGAAAATGTCCATATTTCTTAAACTCAGTGGAGTTTGCTACAGATTTTAATTTTCCCCCTTGCTGCCCAACATTGACTTTGCACTTACCTTTCCTGGTTGTGGTCTTCATGGGGTCCTGCAGTGAGCCAGACCAAGAAGACAAACAGGCAGAAAACTGATGACTTTCCCCATGAATGCACTTCTTTAGCCCAGCTGCTCATATTCTTAAGAATATTTTACAGGTATTTGCTTAGTAGTAAAATGAGATTGGCAGAAGCAAACCAGCTCACACAACAGAGGTCTGTAAATGCTGCTTGAGTACATGTATCTATTCATGTGATGCAGAAGATTTGGCACATATGGCACCAAAATAGTTCCAAAAAGTAACAAAAAAGGCAGCATAACTGTGGCTCTACCTTACAGCTACATGTACTGCCAATAAATATCAGTCAGGAATAGGCCACTGTTGATGGTAATAGCAGTCTGAATTGCCCTAAGGATGAGAGTTTGAGGAAGCTGTATTAACTGGTTTTTAAGGGACTGCCTTCAGCTCTAGAAAGTGGAGAGCTATTTCCCTGTGCTGTGTAACACTACATGTGCAGTGTACCTGGTACTTCCTACAAGTGCTGGATGTATTGAGGACGTGGAATCGACTAAAGTTTGTAATGAGGAGGTTGTAAGGCATGTGTTCTTCTTGTCATTGAAGTAAACTGTGCAGCATCCCTCCTGGCAAGATGTGTTACTACTGGACAGGGCAGCTGAAAATCTTGAAAAGGGAGGAGAGAAGTAACAGAAAAAAAAGATGAGTGACTAATTACTCTTTTATTTCTTCTTAGGAATAAGCTTTTGCATATTTTTACAATACAGCAGAGATTAAGTGTTACTCTGGGCTGCATACAGGGGCAATTGAAGGTATTTGAAGGTCCAAATAAGACCTATAGTCCTGAAAGAGGTTTTACAAATTTGTGTACAAACGTACATGTATTTGATAGCCTTTAAAGCAAGATGAATAATTTCAGGAGCCATTTTTTTCTCATACCGTTGTTTGGAATTTTTTCCATTCTTGACCATTCTGTACCATGGAGATGAAGATGAAGTATCTTGTAGTGTTCTGTGTGGTTTCTTGTTTTCATTTCTGACCACAGATTTTTCAGGTATATTTTCTGTAAGTTCCTTTTTTATCAGATTAGCCAAGTATATACACGTAGTGCAGAAATAGTAGGACATCAAAAGTGTTCAGCAACAGTACTTGGGATTTGATCTCAGATACATCCAAGCTGATTTAAAACCTGAAGTAATTTCAAAATGATGTGTATTTTATCTTTACTGTATAACTAGGTTGTATTATTTTCTGCCTTTTCTTATCACTTTAAGTTAGTATTAAGTGAGTTACTACTCACTTAATGAAAAACGTGAATAACTATTGTAGATCTCTATGGCCATAATATCATTTGTGCAGCAAAAATGTTTGATATCCAAACTGCTAGCCAGTATGTGTGTTTAGAAATAGTGTCATGTGTCAATGTGTAAATGTATCTAGTGCATTTTACTTGTGACTTGTGTAATTTTTGCATATCATGGTTACTGTGAGCACACTTGTCATCTGTACTCTTACTTGCATTTGCCACCATGGGGACACCAAAAATATGCTGTACTGTGCTATTTTGACACGTTCACAACTTTGTGTGCCCATTTTCCTGTACGTTTAGGAGGCACTATAAACATGTCAAAAGCTTCTGCTTGGATAGTCCATGGAAGCTGATTTTATCTATCCAATCTATGTAACTCCTAAATTTCAGGAGTTCTTTGAGTCAGTAAAATGCAGCTTGTAATGCTCTTTGTCCTGAGAGAAACAAGTCTGCTGGATTAAATAATTAAGGTAATGGTGATATAATGGCAGTGGAAAAGGTAGGTTAAGGATATAAGGACTAAAGGCACTACTATAATGAAAAAGACAAACGTACAGGTGTGGTAGCTCTTTATTTGGTGCAATAATGTTAACAGAATAGCTTTTATTACTAGATTTAGTATCTATACACACATACTGAGTTATCCTTTTCATCTCAGAAGAAACAGGAGAGCTCTTGTGTTATTTGTGGTTTAGTTCATTCTTCTTGTAGGGAGAAAAATTGTAAATGAACTTATAATTGTCTTGGAGGACTGAGTTTATGAACTACTCTAAGTATTTAATGACCCGTTCTGTAGGCTTAAAGTAAGGGTAGGTATTTCAGAAATTCCTCAAAGATCACACCAGTTTGTTAGCAAGAAGTTGTACTAAAACTTACTTTTTGTCGGATAGAAAAAATTAGAAAAAATAGAAAAAATTGCTGCAAACTAAAAAACATAGGGAAATCTGGAGACAATCTGTCTGTACCTTGCAAAATCCTAGTCATTACTTCTTTGCAACTGTGAAACTTTGCAAATTAAATTGGACTGTAGTTGATCAGAGATCAGACTGTTTAGTCTTATTTGTGAAGAATTTATTGGGCATGAAAAGGATCTGTGATAAATGTAGATGTTTGTATCTAGTTGTCGGAACAGAAATGGGTTGATACAAGTGGGTGTGCAGCAGTTTGCAAAAATGTGGTGAAAACAAAAGAAAAAAAAATCACAATTTGTTTCTATTTGCTTTGCAGTTCTGTAGACAGGAATGGAATTTATTTGAACAATGTTTACTATTACACATGCAGCTTCCATGTTTACCTAACAGTTTTGTTTGGCTGACAAAACCAACATCATTTCTGTTGGAATAGCTGTCAGCTTCTACATCTTCCGATGACATATGAACTTCACGGCAAAGACCACATGCTCATTTTCCTGTGTACCTGCTGAGAAACTTCCTCTTTTCTTATGATGTACTTTGACAGAATGTAAGTTCTATACTAAAACTAGCTTTCAATTTTATTAAGATCTTTTAAAATTTAGATATGATTTTGAAATCAAAGAACAACCCAACAGAAGTTGGAAGGGTCCTTGAGGAATCATTTGGCCCAATCGTTTGGGAATGGGAGTCTAGATGAGAATATCTGGCACCCTCTCCAATCATATATTGAAAACATCCAGTGATGGAAACTCTACCACATCACTGGGGATGTTGTCACAGTGAATTTTGGTTCTTGTTCGAAAAAAATTTCTTTCTTGGGATGCAACCTCTCCCAGTGCAACTTGTATGTGTTGCGTTTTGTCTTCTGTGTGGCTCCTTGGGAGGAGGGAGCCTTCACCCTCTTTAAGTACTGGAAAACTGTGATGAGTTTCCCCCATTGAACCTTCTCCTCCCTAGAGAGGAAAAACCTAATGCCTCATGGGACAGGTTTAGCAGCCCTTTGAACATCTTTCTGACCTTCCTTTGGACCAATCTGATCCTGCCCTTGAATTGTAGAGACCAGAACTGGACACAGTACTGCAGGCAAAGCCTGACAGGTTCTGAGTAGTGGGAGCTATTTAATTTCTCCTTCTTGAGACTTCTCATGGCTATGTGCATTGGGTGCTTTAAGGGCCAAATAAATTTCACCTGCTGAAAGCTTTTAAAATTTTAGTAAATCTGTAGTTTAAAATCTTACTTGGTATTTCTTAAAATACATTCTCACTATTCTCAGTCAGTCTTTTCCAGCATTTTTCTGTGTATAGATAGATTGAGAAAGTTTTTTTCAGATTATATTAGTTATGAGAATGTGGGCAAGGTTTAAAGTTGTAGGAACAGAATAGTGAAACATAGGAGACCTTGGTTCACAAAAGGTGCTGAGCTGGCTGTGAGTTTCAAGGGAAGAAAATTCCTGCTGAAGTCCATTGCACCCTCTCACAGAGCTGGAATGAGATGGGAGCCCACTGTAATGTTAGAGTATGTTGAATTATGGCCAGCTGGGTTTCTTGATCAGTGTAAGCCAAGTAAGTGCTGTGTGCTGGTATGGGTTTCTCTTGTAAAGTTATTTATTGTTTGAAATGACCATGTTTTTTTCACCTGTTTTTTTCAGGTGTTCAATTTTAAAAGGAATTGCCATGCATTAGGAGCTCCAGAAAACTGAAGTGAAACTGTTTTTTGCTAAATATATTGTGCCCTTAATAAAGTTTGAAAAAAACTACAAAAGTTAATATATCATATGCTTGCCTTTATTAGTTAGAACTGGAACTGATGGTATGAAGTCATCTTTATACTATAGCTGCATTTAATTTTGCAGGTACAATTCATAGGGCAGAAATGTTTTTGATTTGGTAAAGAATATGAAAAATATCTGTAGCTTTTTGTGTTGTTAAAATGCTGTTGAATTTTTGTTGCTGTCCACTAAACTTGACATTTCAACAAAAAATAGTAAGTTTGTAAAAGCACTTACCTTGTGGAATTTCTTTTATTTTAATCCTTAGATCTGAGCAGATCTAAAACTATGGTAACTGTAACACCTTGGAATTCTAGTTTTTTCTTTTTCATATTGGATATTATATGTGAATTCTTCCTGCTTGTGCCCTTTTTTTTTGGTGTGTTTTAAAGTCTTTTATCATGCTTTGAATTTAATAAATGTATCTTTGGTGAAGGAAGCAGATGGACCACAAAGTCAAGTGACATGCACCCTCTAGGGCAAGAAGGACCTGCCACTTGAATTTCTTCAGCTCATAGGGGACAGACATTTGACACTACTTTGGCTATGCTTGAAGCTAAGTCTAGTCATGTCAGATGAAAATACATATGTTGAATTTTATTTTCAGTATGTATGACTTGCAGTATCACTCGTATATTCTTTCTTGAAATCTGAGCTTTCTACAGAAAAAGTGTAAGAAGTCTTTCTCATACATTAGTAAAGCTTCATAAATGCAATTCAAGTCTTGAAATAAGATAAAATCAGCTTAAAAAGAACTCATTCTATATGAAGAAAGGGTTTTGAACATGACACTGCTAGAAGTCACCAGAGGGCAATATTAACCTTATGTGTTCCATACCTGTTTGCAGGTATGTCCAAAGTGAGAGCCGTGTGCTGTTCACTCTGAAAAACAGGGTTGAGCTGTTGTGCTTCTCATAAAATTTATGTGGAAATGTTGCAAGCGCTTTGTAGTTTTGCCTTTCATTTTCTAAGTGCAATACATTGCAAACTGGAAAAAATGTGAAGAATTTTGGTTGTAGTTCCAGAAGGGGTAACGATCTGCTCAATTATTTTCTCAGCTTCTGCGGGAATGTTCTGTGTATACTCAAAAGAAATTGTAAAACTTTGGAAAACTTTTTTGCTTATGCATCAGCTTCTCTTAAATGGAAGTACCTGTTGAAAAAATACGATCTGTTCCTAAAATAAAGATAACACTACCACAGCAAAGTGGTTTATATTTTTTATTTATATAATTTTAAGAATGAAAATCTCTCTACTTGACTGTATTAGTGGAATATATATGCTGCCTATAGAAATAGCATGAATACTCTTGCCTCATATTTTTAAGTCACAAGTTTGTGCTCTGTTGTGATTGAAGAGTTCTGTGAAGGACTCTTGAGTATTATTTTAGCATAATAACAAACAAAAGCCCATGAAAATACACATATATACACAAAGCCTAAACTTTGTGTCCTAAACTTCTCTTTGTGCATCACTTTCAAACCAGGGTGAACTGCATAATGCAAATTTTTTTACATCTGTGGGTCAGTTTTCAGTAGGGATTCATTTATACATTGTTTGTATAAAATCCTTACAGTAAAGGCAGCGTATCGGGGAGTTTTTAATTACATTTTTCTCCAATAAGCAGAGAGGGAGGTCCATAAATCTTTCGGTATCTTGTGTTTTGATTTAAGGTCAGATCACCTGGTTCGGCTATGAAAGCCCTCGTAGTTTCTGGGACTACATTCGCGTAGCTTGCCGAAAAGTCTCTCACAATTGCATCTGCAGTATTGAGAACATGGAGAATGTCGGTTCTTCTAGAGCTAAGGTAGGGAAGAGAAAGGCTAAAGTGACTATTTCATTACATTGCTGTGACATTGCTGTACCTGTAAAAAAAATAGTACTTAGCATGCTCTACACATTTTTTAATTGTTCAAAATATTTTTTTTAATGTGCCTAGTAAATATTTGCTTTTAAAAAGCCCCACTTTTAAACTGAAATGTGTTTCATTTAAGATTTCTTACTCAGTATGAAAAATTCTCAATTCAGTGATTGTGTTATGTTACAAAAGGATTGTCCTCAGATTTTTTACTTGATATAATTTTTTGAAGGGAAATTAAGTTCTTGTGTACATGCCTAAGAACTATTAAAATTGTAGAAATTGGGTGACTTTTTTTCTTTTCCCTTCTAGTCATTTTATTTCATGTAGAATTTATGCTCTGATAGAATAGGTGTGATGAGCTCTTAAGATTTGTTTTATAGATCTTTCTGAATTCTGAGATTTCAATAGATATGAATATTTAAATTCAGCACATAAGATGATGCAATATTTATATTCTTATAAATAAAAACCTTATTATTACTCTGTGGAATACTTCAAGCCAAACAGTAGACAGAGAATCTAATTTGTGCAGTGAGTGTGAAGAATGGTGTTCAGTTTTTTAGAGGAGTATTTTGAAAGTCTGGATGTGAAAAGATGGCAAGCATGTTGACACAAATACCCGTCATGTGCATCAGTTTGACTGGTGGTTCAAGTAAGTGTCCTCCTCAGCCTGAAGCTGTCAGCAAGGGTTTGCCAGTGCTAGTTGGCTCTGCTTTCACTGGAGGTGCATAGCTTTAGTCCTTAGCTAAGCAGCATCATCAGTTTCATGGTTTCAGTCACATTCTAAATAAATGCAACATAAAGGCAGCTATCCAGGTAAATGTCCTTCTAATTTCAGTGGGATTTAATTTAGTTTCTGTGTTAAATTTTTTTGCTGTGCTGTTGGTATTTATGAAAGCAATTTTATTTAGCATTTCATAGAATCTTGGAATGGTTTGTGTTGGAAGAGATTTTGAAGACTGTCTAGCTCAAATCCCCCTGCTGTGGGCAGAGACATCTTCCTACTTTTAGCTAGAAGCTACTCCCCCTTGTCCTGTCACTACATGCTCTTGTAAAAAGTCTCTCTCCATCTTTCTTGTAGGCTTCCTAGAAGGCCGCAGTTAGGTCTCCCTGAAGTAGGATTATAATCTACTGCTAATTCTGGTAGAATGTCTGATATTCAGCTAGATGCCAATAAGCACCAAATATATTAAGCATAAAGACATCTTACTACTTACCTAAGTGTTCATAAATTTATATGGTTTACAAGAAATATTCCTGATGTTCTCAGAAATACACTCATAACTGTGGCAGCCATTGAAATATCTCCCTCTTGTAAGCCCCAATCCTGTGCATTAGACCTGCAAACACAGCACAACGTGCTTTCCCAGGGGTTATTTCTTTAAAGGTATTGCTGCTGTTTATGGAACTGTTCAAGTGAAGTTTTGCTTTTGGACTCTAAAAGATTACATCTCTTGGATTTGATTTTGTGTCTATATTTTATATGCACATTCTATAATAATGTTGTTACTGAGGAGAAAAAATATTGCAAAACTCATTTTTTTATGTAAATCCCTCAAATATTTGAATTAACACAGAGAATCACTTTGAAGACAAGTTTCTGCCACTTTACTGTGGAAACAACTGGATGTTTCCAGTACCATTGATTTTAAAATGTTAAGCTTTCTGCCCTGAACTGCTGCCTCTCACATATGTGAGCTTTTCTAAAGGCTGGAGCATATAAAGAAAAAACCCTCCACCCTCTCCCTAAGATTTTGGATAACTTTCACAGTAAACTTTGTGTCCTTGTATTACTGCTGTAATGAAGTATGTCCTAGCAACTGTTTTTGTTTAATGCTAGTTTTGTTTATCAGTCATTTATTCAGGTAAACCAATGGTATTAGTTTTCAGATTGTAAAACTGTTTCTTTCTGTAATACTTAAATATTTGATACCTGTTTTGTCTTGCAGGGTCGAGCATGGATAAGAGTAGCACTTATGGAAAAACATTTGTCTGAATACATTTCCACAGCTCTGAGAGACTTCAAAACAACCAGGTCTACAAGAATTTTTTTTGCAATATTTTAATAAATATTGTTTAAGTGAGGGACTTGTGTTTGGAAGTGAATGGTGCACTTGATTTGTATAGTAAAGGATGTCATTAATGAAAGACCTGTAACCTAGTGAGAGGTATCTAGAGCTGGTATGGATTTGGTTTTAGCATGGGTAAAACTGCAAAATTGAATCTCTTTTTGGGATTTAAAAAATGTGGGAATAAGCCTGGAATTCTTGAAAAGTCAGAAGCAAAAAAAGCCTCTCTGAAGTAGGAACTAAAGCTGAAATTGTGGTGTAGTACGGATGGGCATAGTATTCCTTTCAAAATTGACAGAAAGCCTAAGGACTCAGTGAAAAATAATTTTTGTAGAACTTCTACTGAAGAAAAAAGGAAGAGAATTCCAGGAACCTCTGGAGAACTGTAGAGCAGCAGAATTAGTGATCAGGCATAGCTAGGATTCTTGATATAATAAGAAAAATATGTAACAGATTTATGTTTTAACTTCTAATGATAAAATCAGAGATGAGAATATTCTTTGTGGTAGAGAATACTCTGGCAGTTTTGGACTGGTTTTAGATAATGTGATTATTAGGTGCTATTTTATCTCATAACGAGTATATTTTACAGATTTTTAATGAAGTTGTCTGAACACAGGTGGATCTGTAACATGTACTTTGTGTTGAACTCTTAAAGTTTAGACATAATGAATGGGCTATTAAAACAAGAAGAATTTTCTCTGTAAGGACTTCTGTTCATTTAGCATATTATTTGTTTAATAATATTTGTCCAGAGATTTCCATGTAGTTTGCCAGTATTAAGCTGACTTTGAAACACAATTAGGTAAACAGCCCATTTCATTGCAGTTTCAAAACCTGTTGTCTTATTTTTCCCAGATTTGCTTACATTTACAGTAGACAAGAAGCATAAAAAACAAAGAAAATCTGGAAAAGATTTACTAATGCTGCTTCAAACTGAAAAGTCACATGGGTTTCTGAGGAGGAGATGAGGAAGAGTAGGGTCACAAACTGTGTAGTTAAGTTGTACATTCTTTGTCCTTGTTTCGATAGCATAGTTTGTTAGTGGATAACAATGGTCCTATTTGATTAGCAGTTTCAATTTCATTTATTTGAATAAATGAAATGAATTTCATTTATTTCATTTATGTGAATGTTTAAAATATTTGAATGTTCTTTCAGTGGTATATCTTTTTGAAACAATTTCTCTTGCATTCCAAACATAGTAAGTGCAAAGTTTCTTTTGAAGTAATGTTTTAAAATACATCTAATGGAAATGGTTTTCAGGTTTTAGTTGTATGGATTTCAAAGCCACTAGCAACAATGGACATATTTTCTTTTCTCATGTGGGATTTCAAATACCTAATAACTGGCCTGATTTTTGGGTGATGATTTGCATAATTTATTTAGCATTTTAAATCATATATTTTACTATATACATCTTTAATAATTATTAGTATAAAGTATAAATTTCTTGTGTTACACGTGTATGTAAAACACAAGATTATCTATTATGTTGATAGCTCTTTTTAAACCTCACTGTTGTGTTTAGCTGCCTGGAGGTAGTACTTGAATGAAGCAGCACATTTTTAGTGCTGGATGTGCATATTGCACTTGGAAGGGGAGTTATGTTAAGCATGGGCACAGAATTATTTTTTCTAACTAATTGGTCAAACTCTTAAAATATAACAGACTGTTGTGTTGTGAGATGTCAAGTGTATAGCTGAATGAAGATTTGTGAATTTTCCAAGGGGACTATTGGTTTGGCTGGATTGCTGCAGCTGTATTTAACCCTGGCACTGGCAGGCTAACTTCTGCATCTCACCATTGAAGGTGTGCCTTGTCCTTTTTGTGTGATTTCTTCCTAGGCACTATTTTACAAGAACAAGTGCAGATTGGTACCTGGCAGTGATTTTACAAATGCCAGTGAAATGGCTGGTAATCTGCATGCACTGGGGGCACTGCTGTTTGTTCACAAATAAGAGTCACTGTGCTGAATCAGACTGGAGTCCCTCTAGCTCAGTGTTCTGGCTCAGCCAGCTTAGCCTCCTGGTGGCCTTCCTGAAGTCAGAGAGTACAGAGCTGAGTTTGTACTTCCTAGCCTCGCTATCAGGATTATATGAGAGGAAGTCTTACAGATTTATTCCTTCTACTGAGAACATCTGAGATCTTTGACAACTCATCTCTGTATAGTGAATGGATGTCTGTTACAAAGCTGCAAAAGTGGGACTTCTCACAGCATGCATTATAGCACAGTTCAGTTTCTGGAGCTGTGCCTCAAAACATGTCTTTTCTGGATGTTCACCATGCAGCCAACTGGAACTCTCTCTGAATTACCCAGAAGCTTTCATGCAATTCTTAAAACAGATGGAGTTTGGGAAGGGCAGTATTGCTGGTATTTGTCTGGTTGTAGTCAGTAATCTGGCACCTTCCTGCACTCATCCGCTGCTAGAACGTAAAGGTGAACTGTGCATCTCAGTTCTTACTAAGTGACATTTCAACCTTGCCTTCGGTACTGAGCACTTCTTGGTTTCCCTCTTACCACATGTAATTCTCAGGTGAATTCTGATGATCTTCCAGCATGCATCTTCCCAGCATGCAATATTTTAAAAAAAGGTAAACTACATGAAAAATAGCTGATTGGTGCAAATATTTTTTTAAAAAGATCAACCCCTAGGAATGAAAATTGAATGTTGAACTTTAAAAGAACCTGCAAGTACAATTGTGAAAGAGAACATTTTTTCATGTGATGGAATCATTATTTCTTTATGTATATGACACAAATTCTTCCTTTTAGAGGTAAAGTATAACATGCCTTCATAATTTTTTATATTTTATCCATCCTGTTCTACTAGTTCATAGGACTGATGTTGAAAATTCTTTTTGCTCATGTCTAAATTCTTCTGTGTTTTAAGATTGTGGTGTTTTGTGCTATGTAGTCTATTAGTTTACTTTATTTGAAATTAAATATGAATGCCTCTGGGGTTCATGAATTGTTTTGCTTTAAACTGGATTTCTTCAGTTTTCTGCTAAATATGAAAAACAGCTGAATTAATTTCTTTTTTGTTGAAGGAGGTTTTATGAAGATGGAGCAATTGTTCTTGGTGAAGAAGCAAATATGCTTGCTGGTATGCTGTTGGGACTCAATGCAATTGATTTCAGGTACTGTATTTGTGTGCTTCACAAAAAAATGCTCAGGAAAAGTACTTGCAAATCAATGTATTATGGAAAACATTCTTAAATTCCTGTGGTAGTTTGAGAGGTAAACTTAGGTTGGGGCAAAGAAGAGGGCAAGAGAGAGATCTTGAATGGCTCTTCTAGATAAGAACCAAGTTATGCTTTTATGTAACTGCATGATTATGGCATAGTTTTTTCAGGTATCAAAATCCTAAAAGGAAAGAAGTATAATTGCAGAAGATATTTCAAACCTATTAAATGAAGCTTATAGACATGACATCTTTTAAATTTATTTTTAAACTGTAAGGAAAACTGTGTGATTAAGTACTTGGTTATGTCCTGGTGCTTGAGGATAGCACTGTAACTGCATATGTAGAAGGTAATCTTTATCACTTCTAAATTTGAAAAACGTAAAATACAAATGACCATTTAATATCAATTTGTGTTAAAATTACCTGCAGCTGAACTGCTTACATGAATTGACCTTTGCAATTTCTAGCCAAGCTTTTCCTCTATGGTTAATTCTGTGGTTTTGAGGTAACAATGGTGCAAGCACACCCCAGATAATAAAAAAAACCAGCACGGCATGTCTATCTACATATGTACATATATTAAAAAAATCCATCAGCAATATATAAAGATTACAGTGCCTGTAAAAAGATAGAACCTGGCTGGTGCAAGACCTTGCTAATATGCCTGGTTGGACCAGTTTAGCCTTAGGCAGAGCCACTGGCAGAGAGTTTCATAATCCAGCACAAGGAAAAAGAGACTGATAGTGCTGTTCTTCATTCTTCTCTGTTCACCGTTTGTTAATATTTACCTTGCAGTAGCATTAATGCTTGTCACAAACCAATATAGGAGGCAAACTGCCAGAAAACAGAATGGATGCGTTGAGTGATTGACCATTGCCAAAAGGCCCTTTAGATATTTACTGCTGTTTATGTTCCTCTGTGCCAGGCTTGTTGGACCCTTCTATGAGCCAGCTAAATTGCTGAAGAATGAAAAAACATCCCCAGTAAGAGGACTGGATAGTTCTTTTTTAGTTAGCTAGTTTGGTTCACAGAAGCCTCCTGTTAGTGTCAGAGATTATGGGAGAAGAATGCTTAGCCAAGAAAAGGAGCAAATAAGGAATGAGCAGTGTTTTCCCTTTGTGGTGGTAAAGAGCATTTAGTTCAGCTGGCTATGGGACTGCAACTGGGTGAGGAAAGGAAAAAGAAAAAAGAAAACAATGTAAAAATGCAGATCTTGATGGCTGCTGAACCATCATGGAGTCAGAGCCAATACCACTGTAAGGAGGGGAGTGTCATGTTTGCATAAAAAAAAAAAAATAGGGAGGGAGAGGTTGAAAACACAGGATAGCTTCTTTTTCCAGCTTTGTGTATTGGCTTAACTACATCCTCAACATGTGTTCTGGAAGAGCAGAAGTGTGCTGCAGGATGATAAGAGTGCTAGCCTTGTGTACAGCAAAATTCAAATCTTACTAGATTTTATTAGTTTAAGCTTTACATAATCTGAATTTAAACTGCTTCTGTATTAGCCTTATACTTGGAAGGACAGCTATACGTGAATAAGCATTGCAAGATTGGGTCTGCATTATGTAAATCCTCTCATAAATAATCACCAAGTGACTGTGTTTGTCTCTCAGAAGCCTCAGTGATACATGCTAGGGTGTGAGAGCTTAGTTGCATAACTACTTGTTCTTTCTTTGTCCTCTGATTTCTAATATAAAGGAACCTATTAATGGTATTTAGACTGCTGATTGGCTCTTGAAGATATGTACATTTTGTCAATGCAGCTTTTAAGAGTCTAAGAATTTTCTGTGCAAAATGGGAATTTAGTACTACAGGAGTGTTTTTATTGTGCCACATACCACAGAATATTTCAGGTTGGGAGGGACCACAGTGGGTTGTCTGATCCAACCTCTCTGCTCAGGCAGGGTTATCCTAGAGCACATGGCACAGGATTGTGTCCAGATGGTTCTTGAATATCTCCAGTGAGGGACTCCACAACCTCTCTGGACAATCTGTTCCAGTGTGTGGTCAGCTGCACAGTAAAAAAATTCTTCCTTATATTCAGGTGTAATTTTCTGTGCATCAGTTTCTGCCCCTTGACTCTTGTCCTATTGCTTGGAACCACTGAGCAGAGCCTTTATAGTATTGTGATTTGAATGGCTGAGGAGCTGTATCCATTCCTTACATGTTATATATGAGATTTTTTTTCAGTTCAGTATCTCTTATAAATGTTGACTAGCTTATCTATGTGGAGCTGTAAATATGAGTTAGGGCTGGAGGATGAGTGAGCTTGTGTGAGAACATAATCTGATTTTTTTTTTCTTCCCTCACAGCAATAAGGAATTAGATAATTGTGCTCTTGGGGGACTGCTTTTTCACTTTCTTTGTTTTTCTTTCTATTTTGGGGAAAAAACCAACAACTCTTTGCTTTACTTCCCAAATAGCACTTAAATTGTCAAATGCATTGTCAAAAATGGTACTTTGCAATTCAGTTAGCAAAGGCTGTGACTTATTAGAATGTGTTTATCAATAACAGAGATAGGAATGAGGACTATGAGCCTTGTGGAAGCATGATCATTTTGTCACTTCTGTGATAATTAAATATAGTTGAAATGCAATAATTTATTTCCAGTGAAAAGAAAGAATACAGTGTAAATGAAAGCTTTATAAAGCTACAGCCAATTAAGACAATTTTCCAAAAGTTAGATTCATTTGTATTCCTCAGCTTTGTGCACCTCAGCACCTGTAAGTGTCTGAAAGGAGAAAGACCCTGAAATATTTTTGAGAAAATTACTTTTTACATAGTAGAATGCTTATATGTCCATTCTGCAAACCATTTAAATGATGTTAAATGTGGAAAATTCCAAGCTTGTCCATAATTCTTCTGTTTCTGCTGCTTCAGTTAGCTTTCTGATTATTCTCTTGCCATCTCTCTATTTTATTAAGAATAAAAACGAATGTTTAAAAATTAGGGTTTATAGCACAAAAAAATTACAAAAAATGAAGTTTCAGGTTGATAATATTCAACTGTCTCTGTAATTTCTATTTCTTATAATAAACTTATTGTTGTTGCTGTTTTATCAGTTTTTGTCTGAAGGGTGAGGGATTGGATGGAAGCTATCCAGCTGTCATAGATTATACACCATACTTGAAGTTCACCCAAAGGTACTTTTTAGCTTTACTCTGCTTTTTAAAATTTTATTTCATTGGCAAGATTTTACTTTTTATTTGGCCTCTTATTTTTCATTTCATATGCAAAATGATATTTATCTCTAAGTACAAACCTGTACACTCAGCTACCTCACTCTTTCAGACTGGTGGAATTGTTATATGATTCATGAAATGTGAGTCATGCTAATTGTGTTTCCTTGATTCAGAATAACAGTTCAGTGGAAAATGAATGCTGCATCTCCTTTGACGATCACCAGACCAAGCTGTCTTTTCTCTTAGGCCTTTTCTGTGTAGTCATAAAATGAAATAGTTATTTTATAAATAAAAATAATATATACGCTGATAAATATAAGATATGACATAGGCAATATAAGCCATTAGCACATCACAGAAAGTCGTGACCAGGCTGTGTAAACTGATTTTTTAGCTGCCTTTTGCTCCTCTGATCAGCCTTATGATCAATAATTAAAAGAACTCTCACTAATAAATCAAGTAGCAATTTGGCACCACCAAAAAGCATGGAAATTAATGATATGTTTTCTGTTATTAGGTTTACCCAAAGGAGAGAAGCAATTAGGAATAGTCTTGAAGATGTACAACTGAACATGAAACATCCTAGTTACTCTCTTGAAATTTTCAACTAGCTTTACATGTTAGTGACAAATTGTGATTCAGTTTGTATCATGGCAGGATCATGGGGTTATGGAAATGACTACTTAAAAAAACCTAGTAAATTCTGTTCGTGTAGGGGGAAATATAGTTGCAAGGGAAGATTTTCAAATGAGTACTGGGATAAATCAGAATCACAGAATTGTTAGTGTTGGAAGGCACCTTTGGAAATCACCCAGTCCAAGTCCCTGCCGAGACAGGGTCACCTGTAGCAGGTGACACCTGGAGCAGCAAGGGACACTCCACAACTTCCCTGGGCAGCCTGCGCCAGTGCTCTGCCACCCGCCATGTAAAGGAGTTCTGCTTCACGTTGAGGTGGAAATGCTTGTGTTTTAATTTATTGCTATTGCTCTTCTTCCTGTCCCTGGGCACCACTGAAAAGAGCTTGGCAGCATCCTCTTGACACCTGCCTTTGAGATATTTATATACATTGATGATATCCCCTCTGTCTTCTCTAGACTAAAATAAATTTTTGTCTTTGAGAAAGATGTCTGCATTCTCTAGCATGCACTGATTCTGGAAGATATGAAGATATTTTAACAATGAGTCTACTTACTATGTAGGGAAATACATTCTATGAAGTAACAGGCACAGGATCTTTGCTATAAACATAGATATACATTCTGATTTAACATAATGACAACCACTTTTTTGGGTTTCTCCTTTTTTTTAAGAAACAGAATCTATATTGTAATGCATTTACCCTTTGTACTAAGGAAAGTAGTCCACATACAGTTGCCTAACTTGGCAAAGATCACAAGCAAATTTTTGTCTATTTTTTAGGTGGCTATAGAAACAAAAGCTTGAAATACAAATTGTGTTTAGTAATCCATCGTATTCCAACGTTTCCATTTTTTTTTTGTTTGCAGAGTTTTTTAAGAAATACAATGTTCAATTTCAACCAGAATTTGTGTTTTTATAAGTGCAGCTTTTGACTTGGCTAATAAATATGATTCTTCAGTTCTGACAGTATCAGCAGTGATGAAGAAGAGCTAAGAACACTGGGCAGTAGTGGCAGTGAAGGCAGTACTCCAGAGAACATTGGTCCTCCTTTCATCACAGATGAAAACAGTTGGTACAACAAATGCAAAAGGGTAGAACAGAAGTACCGGCTTGCATTGGAACAGAAGGTAAAAGATTAGTTTTGTGTGGGGGCTGTGGAACCAAAGCTCATCACCAGCCAACTGGTGACATATCCATCTAAGTAAAGGCAGGAAAATATATTATTAGATGTTGTTTAGCTTCATGTAAGTGGTCCTAAATTTTATGATCCTCAGAGTATCCCAAGAATCTTTGCTCACTGATTTGAGGGAAAAGAGGCTTGATGAGCTGGAGAAGAGAATAGAAATAATTCAAAGGTCAAATTTCACAATCTAATGTTGAAGCTTTGGCTTCTTTATCCAATATTGGAGTTACAGACACTGTATCTCTAATGCTGTTAGGTTGTGAACTTGAAGTTCACATGAATTTTCTCTTTCTTGGAAGTCACAGATCTTTATTGTAGGTAGACTGACAGATGAAGTCTTTTATGATGATAGTGATGTTAAACTTCAACACTTAGTCTTAAACTAAACAAAAAGAATCAGCAGAGTAATCCATTTGGATGAAAGGTAAAACTATCGTCTCAGTGATACTGGGATGGGTTTTTAGAAAATAGGTAATTTTATAACTTGATTGAAGCAGACTGGGAAAGGAAAATGTGAAAGAATATGTTTGTGTTGGATTTTAATTTAGGTAGCAAATTGACTGTAACTACAGAAACCAAAGGTGGGTTTTCCATCTACCACCCAACATACCTTAAGTTAAAGGTGAAGTGAAATAAATATATATCCAAACCGTTTAATTATTTAGCATTTTCAAAGCAAAGTACTTGTCAGTTTTTCATAACAGCATTCTTACATCCACAGTAATTACAATGCATATTAGCTAGTAGAGAGAAGAGGGCAGACTATTCATACACACCAAAGAAGTAGTGCACAAAGAAAGAAAGGAGGGTCAGGAAAAACTACAGGAAAAAAATTAAATACACCTGGTTACATTTTTAAAAATAACTTCTGTTAGTATTTTTATTTTAGTTCTGTTTTCCTAGTGTAAGATTTGATTTTTGTGAAACTCTGAATAGAGTCAGCCATATGAAGGGCTGGAACCATACAAGGGTGCTAGGAGGTGTAATTATTTCCCTGAATATGGAATAGGTAGAATCAAAATTGGTTTATTTTAATGCACTTGAAAGAAGCTAGAGTTTTTCTAAGTAACAGTGAAAGAGTCAGATTTACTATGGGATAATAGATTCTTAATATTTGTTTATATTATTTTTTTTAAATTATACATACAATTATTGATTTTGTATTTTGGGTCTCTTAGACTTTGTTTTTGAAATATTACCTGAACTGTTGCATCCAGTTTTCTGGTCCAGTCTTTTCAGCTGGTATGGTATCACTTTCTGTATGGAAAGAACTTGTGTTCCTGGGGTCCTCTCTGGTAACAGAGGGCATTTTTCCTGCTTATATAAAGCAAAGCATGCTGTTCAAAGGAATCTCTTCAAATACATAAATGAAAAACTTTCTCTTGAACCTCCAGAAGGAATTCCCATCTTTGCCAGACAAAAATATAGGATCAGCTTGAGTGTACACTTTTCCCCACCATGAGGAGAGTGTTGTCAGTCTGGAGAAGCATTGAAGAGAACAAAAGAGGTGGATGTTCATTTTTCTTGATATATCCAGGTGGTTCATTTGCAAAGATACTCCATCACATTTGTGACATACATGTGTAGAAACATGTAACCCACATCCACAGTCAGAATCACTAGGAGCCTTTGTCTGCATAAGCACAAAGGTTGTCAATGGCTGTAACAGCAAATAGTGATTTTGGTTTATTCATGAGTCCAAGATCTAGAACAATTCCCATTCCATGGAAGTTATTTCTGGTAACATTCTCTTAATGAATTTCTAACTTCTGTAGGTTACTAATATAGGGGTGAATTTAATTCAGTTGTAGGATCAATCTTTGGAAATTTTGGTGCATTTAAACAATTTTCAAAGTGGTAGCTCCTCTGACAGCTGTTGACTCTTTCCTAGTTGTCCTCCTTTGGAATGCTTACTTGCAATTGCAGGAGCAAAATAACTTATTTTTCCTGCAGTCAGAAAATTTTCTGTTCTCTTAATTTTCATTTGGGATGTGCTTGCCAAGTTTTTATATGATTCACTTTAACTATGCCACATCTGTTCTATTACAACTTGAACAAATGACCATTAAAATGGACTGTACAATAGAGCTCTTTTCCCAAGTTTCTCTTCCTTCCCTTTTTTCATGGCAATAAGTTGCACCAATGACTGAGTTGCACTCAGTGCAGTAGGTACAAGTTCATCAGAGACCTTTTTATTTGAACAAAAGGGCTTTCTGACATTCTGTGTATTGGAAAACTGGGTGTTGGTGACAAGAAGACCAAGTTGAAAATTATGTCTTTAGTAGCTGATACGGTAGGTCTGATGGATCCTTCTTTTGCTCTATTGTAATTCATTTTGCCCAAACAGTGATAAATTCCTTTTGTGCCTCCCAAGTAAAGTATGTGTGCTGCAGCCATTAATAGCACCAGGTCACAATGTGACAAGAAATTGTATTGCAGCTAAGATACAGGTCTCTCTTCTGAGCCATTTGAGTGGTAGGATAGGGTCAGGTGTTACTTTAGCAAGCTAAATCCTAGCATTGCTTTATTGGATCAGCTACACTCTGCTGGTTTAGACCAAGGTTCCTTGGTTATGCTACTGTCCCATCTTGTGTACTTGACCAAAGCAGATGTGGAGGGAAGAATAAACACAAAGCACATGATTATACCCCACTTTTCTTCCAATGCACTCTTAGCCAATGTGTGTCAGCTGCCTGAAGCTAAAAGGTTTGTCTGTGTAGTAACCTGTGATAGATGTCTCTGCCAAGTGCTTGTCAAATATCCCCTCGATTCCATGTAAAATTTCACCATCCAAACTTTTTTTTTTTCCTTTGGCAAAGCATTCTGTGAATCTACCATCTGTTGTGTGAAAAACTACCTCCTATTCTGTCTTTTGAATCTGTCTCCTAAGAGTTTGATTTCATGGTGCCTAGCTCTTGCTTTTTAAAAAGTTAGGAACTGTCTCTTCCTTTCTGCCCTGCCCAGGCCACTCTGGAAATACGATGACTTTGTCTTTTCCAAGTTTTCTTGGAAAAAACTTTCTTTCTGTTCAGATCAATGAGTCATACTTTACACATTTGTTATTTATATGGGAGTTATCCTTTCTCTGTTCTGGAATGGTTTAAGCTGTTCACTTTTGGATAGTGAGCTCCTGAATTATTTGAGTACTGTTTATACTAGAAGTTTATATGCTTCTGCTGGTAGGATGTGCATCTCCAAGTCATTATACATAGAGGTATTTACTGTACATAGGATTATGTTTTTGATACTGGTGCTTCTGGTCTAAAATGTTTCTGTATAATGGTTTGATTTTTTTTTTTTAAATTTTGTTTTGGGGTTTTTTTTATGTTTTCAAGAAGCAGGAAATTTGTTACATTGTAATGCATCATTTAGTACTTTGGAAGTGCTAACTTAGAACTCCAATGAATATATTAGGAGTCAAGATAACAGTAATATTTGATGAGGCAGAACTAGGCATACTGAAAAGCTCTCAAGATTCCTTGGAACTTGTACTGAGACTAAAAAGTCCCTGTCAAATATAAACATACCCAATGGATAGAACTGTATTTAACTATAGAATCACAGAATAGTTGTGGTCAGATGGCACCTCTGGAGATTGTCTTGTCCATCTCCCCTGCTCAGGAAAAAAGTAGACTAGAGCAGGTTTCTGAAGGCCTTTTCAGTCAGGCTGTGAATATCTTGGGGATACACATTCTCCAGCCTGTTTAGACAATCCATCCCAGTGCTCGTTTAATGGGGAAAAAAGGAAAGAGGAAAGAAAAGTTTTCTTATATTTAAGTGGTTTCCTATGAGCATGTATTTCAGATTGTGCCCATTGCCTCTTTTCACTGGCTGTCACAGAGAAGAGTCTGATTCCATCACGCATACACCCTCCCATTAAACACTGATGTGTATTGATATGATTCTTTTTCCTTACCCTCTTCTCTTCAGCCCTAACTTGAGCAATCCCAGCTCCTTGTGTTTCTTCTCTTACCAGAGATACTTCAAACCCTTAACAGTCTTTGTGGTGATTAATTACACTAGTAGCAATTTGTTACCAGCTGATATGAGCCTGTTTTCTTCACTCAACAGGCGCTGAGAACAGACACACTCATTCTGTATCTCTGAAAACATTAATACCTTTGGTTTTTTTAATACCTTTTGTTTTTAATACCTTTTTACAACATGGGCACATATAAAACAGTTGCACATTTTTCCACAGGTTTCAAGGAATGCACAATTTTATGTAGTGTAGACTTACTGTATTTGGTTTTAGTTGACAATTTCTAAGAAGTTACTAACATCTGACATGCTGGAACCTTCTTTGTCATTTTATTGTGTGATTTAAAAGTTCAAAGACACTTTAAAATAACATTGGATATTTTATCCATAGTAATTCTGAATCCCTTTCATTAACTATAAAGATCCATGTAAATATAGTCTACTCTTACCCTTGTGTATTATCTAGCATGCTGCACCTGTTCAGTTGTAGAATTCTGATCTTTTTCTTGTACTTGTTGTTTTTGAGAGATAAATTAGTCTTTCATGCTGGTGGCTTTCCTGTCTTCTTTTTCATTTTTCTACTCCTCTGCAAGTGTGTAAAGAAATATATTATTTTCCTGTTGCCTACTAGGAAATCTCAAACTAATCTAAAGTAAATATACTAGTCTGTTTAAAAATAAATAATTACGCCTACAACAAACCCCAAATAAAATTGTATACATCATAAACCAGCAAATATGAACGTGCATATTCAAAAGTGGTTTTGATAGTGTGTTTTTTAAAGTTTTCTTATAACTTACATTTTCAGGGTTATCTTGAAGAATTGATACGACTCAGAGAAAACCAGCTGTCTGAATCTGTCTCACAAAATAAACTCCTGTTACAAAGAATTGAAGATATGGATCTAGCCCATAAAATGGAGAAGGAGCAACTGGAATATATCATTGTGGAACTGCAAGACCAGTTGTAAGTTAGCATAATGGAGAAGCATTGCAGCGGCATTACTTAAATTATTTAAGTTACATAACCTTACAATATGTAGAGTTTCTAATTCTGTGGAAATGAGTCAACTTCTTAAAGAAATTGATGTATTTTAGCTTTTTTTTTTTTTTTTAATCTGACAACTCTTAGATTTGGGAATGGTTCCCTGGAAACAGTAGTAGTGTAAAACAGAATAATTCTGAGATTAAATATTTAAATTTTTTAAAATCTGAAATAGCTTACCATAACTTGCTTAAATTTTTTACACGTTTTTATAAAATGTTCTTTATATCTTATTACTTCCAGTTTTAAGGTTACCCCTAAAGGTATTGAAACCAGCTACCTTTTGAAGACCATTTTTTAGAAGTTAGGCAAGAGGGGTAAAAAAATATTTATTTTTCTTTAGCTAGATTTTAATTTATTTGTGATGGCTCAGACACGGTAGTAGTTTGTCTGGTAGTCCTAAAACTATTCTAACTGGCAAAACATTCACTATCACTTTTTCTTCAGTGTAAGACAAAATGCTACAACAGTGAAAGGCTTATTTTTTATTAATAGCATATGTGATTTCTAGTAGGATAAATATTGGAGTATCTTATGATCATTCTAGTTTATCCTCTCAGCCCTGTCTGTTGGGTGGGGAGGTACTCTCCTTTTGCAGAGACATTCCCATGCTGGATGGGTCTCTGAGCAGCCTGGTGTAGTGGAAGGTGTCCCTGCCCATGGCAGAGTGTTGGAGCAAGATGATCAGTAAGGGCCCTCCCAGCCCAAGTCATTCTGTAATTCTGTGTTTGAAGACCCAGGCAGATGGAAAACTTAGTGAAAGTTTTGAAACTGCCAGAGGGTGTGCCTGCAGCAGTTGAATGTTCTGTTCGTAACAAATATAGAACAAGTTAGAACAAGTTATTTTGCACTAAATCTGGATTAATTTGTTAATGTCTGAGCCCGGGAGTAACACAGCAGCCGTCTGAGATCTTTGAAACAATCCATGGTAAAGAGAATGTATGAAGATACCATCCAAAAGGGTCTTTACTACGAAGTAAAATATTTCAAGCTTGTAAGCAAAGCTTTGAGTTTTTTTTCTGCTGCTCTCTCTCTCATGATAGATCATTTTATTGCCAGTGTTTGAAATGGATTTTATGAAAATGTTCAGGAATAGGGAATTGGCATTTTATTTAGGCCAAATGCAGAGTTGAGTAAAAAAAAAGATGATTTTCCAAGTTTCTTTTTTTCTTTCCCTCTGATTGACTGTAAGGTTTTGAGACATACCTGTTCTTGAACTCTTCTCTGAACTTACTGATATGCCTAATGATTCATGTTATACTGCTTTGGCATCCCTGGTTGTTTGGGGGAGGTGGGGAAAGGTGTAAACTTATTTAAACCTACACTGATACTGGAAATTTTGAGTGTTCATACCTGCTGTTAAATTTTAGCTGAGATGTATGCAGTAAGACTGTTCTGAAGATCTTGGTCTTTCAGGTTTGATTTTGTTTGATGGCTTTATTATGTAAAGGCTCAAATTGTGGAATAACCTCTGTTGTATCTTGACAGTGTTCTTGTATATCTGTTTGTGAGACACTGTAGTCAGGAGTCTGAACTACTCTAGATATTTGGGGTATAATTTTACATTTTTATTGCTGTGAGTGTAGCGTGTTTGTCAGGTGAGGGAGGGGAACAAATATTCCTAGTAGGTTCCTAATGGTCAACATCAGTCATAATTAACTTTTTTAAATCATAGTTGGTATTTATGTTGGGTTTTTTATTCCAACCAAAGGTAACCTGGCAGCAGAATGTCTTTTATCAGTAATATGTCTGTAATGAGGCATGAGTTTTGGCCAATTGCTTTTTATGGTCCAGCCATTTTAGAATGATGTTAAAGTAATACCAAAACTTAGTGTTTTACTCCCCTACCATTACTGGCATTTTGAAGCAGTGAATGTATGCTGTAATCTGAATTCTTCATCAGAAGATAGGAGCAAGTCTGGGACTGTAATTCTGCCCAAGGCATACTGCATTGCTGTTTGTAAAACACTTTGAGATCTGGTTTAGGATTGTTTGCTGTGTAATTGAAACCATTATAAATAAACATTCTATACTTTCTTTTTGATGATGCTCTTCTATTCTACTGGCTGCTGTTCTTAAGGTAGCAAGGTCTATGACTTCAAGCTTTTGTTGAGTACGGTTTTGTTGAGGTTTCCATAATGGTATTTCACAGGCATGCAAAGCAAAATGTTTTATGTATCTTGTCAGTGGACTTGACAGAATCTGAGTCTCTATCTATTTCTGCCTTCCCCCACCAAAAAAAAAAAAAAAGTAAGGTGAGGAATAGAGGTGTGACTTTGTTGACAGTGTAGGCTGTTGCTGATTTGGAAACCAGTTAACCCAGGATCAACAAATCAACAAGGCCTTCAGGTTAAACATTAGATTTCCTACAGAGAAGCTTTTCTGTATGCACGTTCACTAAGGGGGTTTGTTGCAAAGCATGAAATAATTACAGGGATAGGACATCAGAAAAATTTGGAAGGAATTTTTCCTTTTACAGCTGCTATGGTTCATATTCTACAATTTTCAGTATTAACTTTGTCTCACACACTTGAATATTCAAACTACAGTGAACAACATAGTTTGCAATGTAGTTAAAAGCCATTTTACAGATCTCATGAATACCAGTATCTGGAAAATGGTGAAGCTGCAAATTTATCAATTAGTTATTCACAAAAGAGTAACTTTTCTGTGCGTCTCTCAGCTTAATTGCATTTCTTAGCAGTATGCCCACCCATCTGGGAATTGGACCTCTTACTTTGTTGGCAGGTGTCTGATGGCAAATCTAGCTGGCAAAGTGAATCTGCAATAGACAACCTGATTATCAGTTCAGCACATTTAAGCTAATACACAGCTCATCAGGAAGAAGATTCAGACTGGACATTGGCAAACATCTCTTTACCCAGAGGGAGGTCAAATACTGCAGTGGGCTTCCTGGAGAGGTGGTCTGTGCCCCCAGTCATCAGTGGTCAGGAGGCATTTCAATTGTGTGAATTGTAATAATGATGAGCCGCTCAGGGCCTTCATTTTTTTCTTCAGATGTCATCGCTGTTGTGTGTTTTTTTTCCTAGGACTTGAATTGAACACTACAGAATAGTGGTTTTGGCTCCACTTTTCTCCAAGAATAGTGTATTTTTACAGTGAGAGTGAGGCAGTTCCAAAGACCTTAAAGTACGTAAAATTAACAGCTCTGAAGTGCTTGAAAATAACAGCTCACAGAAGGACAGCCCAAGAGAAGCCTGTGATCTGTGGAATGTCTAGATGAGGAAAATAGTTTGAATTCTGTCACATTCAAATTACAGAATTGTAATTTGATAGGATAGGGATCCCAAATCGTCAAGGAACTGCATCCTGGAGTATTCAAAATGTACAGAGGCAGACATTCCTGCCTCCTCTGTTTCTGCAAAGAATTGTTGAATGTCTCTTGAAGCACAGAGACATTTGATCGCACACACTATCAGTAAAAAAAAAAAATCTAAGAACCTCCACAATATAGGTACAATTATTTATAAAGTATATAAATATACTGTTGTGTTAATATATTATTTGCATTCTTAAACATACAAAAATATAAATTTAAAAGTATAAGAGGAAATAAACAAAATGTTACATTTAAAAAAATTTATTAGCAATACAAGAAGGGTTTTTTTCCAGTACCCTAAAGGATTATCTTCTGCATCTCACTTTGAGACCATTGCCTTGAAGGACTAGTTAGCTGAGTCAAAGATGTGACTGGGCAAAATCTGGAACCATTGGCCCACAATATCCTTGCATTAAAACTCTTTAGTTCAGCTTAAACAGGCTTTTTTTCCCCTTAGGGCAATTTTTAGTCCTTCTTTTGACTAACACACTACCTGTGTTACAACAAACTCTGCTTTTATTACTTTCAAGTTCAGATTCTGCATCTGAAATTGATATTTATATATGTTAAATATTGATGTTTGATTCCGAGAGATTCCATCAATTTCCTGATTGGCTCATTTCCTGCATATTGACTCACTGATGTTATAAAAGTTGTTCTCACTGATGTTATAAAAGTTCATCACTTTAACATAGAACATCTTTTTAAACAAAGTGAAAGGAAAAAGGAAAGCACTGTATGCAAAGCAGAAAAACACTCAAAATGCTTTAGAAGTTTTTTCTTCTGCTTTGATCTTTGCTGAAATGAAACCAGTGATTTGTGTAATGTGTACTGCCACAGGTTTCCTCCTAAAGAGTTTTGTCAGGTTTTCAGGTTGGTGTGCCTGGTAAGATGGTATGGCCCCTTTGTCCCCACTTGGGACAAATTACTGGGTTGTAATTTTTTTTATCAGATTATCACATTTATGGGAAATTTATTTTGTACATTCAGTGAGGATGCTATATTTTATACCACTCTGGTTTTTATCCCCCTCTACTGTTTCTTCGTAGATCCCCATCTTGTTATGGTGTTCTGTGGAGGGAAGAAGAGTTAGGGGCGAAAAGGTCAGTCTTCCATGTTTGGAATTCTGTTACTGGTTAAGGCACAGATAAGCATCAAATTAAACTGAAGGGACACTCACATCTTATACTGAATTAAGCTTGACTTAATGTGTAATTAAGAATTTCTTTTCATGTGTTGCCAAATCTTAAAGATAGGTTTAATTTGTCTGGCTGTTCCTTCAGAATTAGCCTTTTCAAGGTCCAAACTATGCTTTTCCTCCATTCTTAATGTCTTAATATAGCTTAACATTTTATTATAGTAATACTTAATAGTTTAATATCCAGCAGTACTACATTTTCTATCTGAATAATACAGCTGTATTTGTAAAGAGAGTAAATTAGGACACGTTTAACTCCAGGAAAAATTAGCTTCTCTGTTTCAAACACCTACCAGGTCTATTACGGACTATGTAAAGGAAGATACACTATGTTCTCTGTAGCAAGGATGATCTCTTTTCAATGAATGGTCATGCCCCATTTGG